AGAGCAGAGCTCGGCTCTGGGCCGGGCCCCGGCTCCGCTGCGCCCGGCTGCCCTCCTGCCTGGAGGAGGCGGAGGTCCCGGGGAGCTGCTGCAAAACTGGCACCACCCGCGAACCGCGCTTCTTAACCTCCCAGTAAGGTACTCGGTATTTCTGCAGGTAAGGTCATATTGTGAAAAGCTGAAGTAAAGCCGTAATGATAGCTATACCTATTCAACATCGAGCTGTTGAAGACATTTGGACATAGTTATGAGACAGATAGATTAGATTGAACTTAATGCTGTAACATCTCAGAATTTTGCTTTCTCTGAAGACCTAGACTGGAGACACCAAAGTCCAAAGCCATTTTGCTTAGTATTATTTGACATGCAAACTAAGCAGTGCTCACAACACATTAACATTGTAAATATTTTAGGCATAAACTGTCATTGGATAGGATTTGTCTCCAGCATCCTACCAACTCTTTTTGAAAGCCCCAAATTGGTCTTCCCTTGATATATATGATGGGATGTTTGTAATGTGAGCACAGTCTCCAATATATGCATGCCCTTTGCACCCTCATTTAACTAAAGAAATAAGCCAGTATAAAAAGTTTTCCAGGCATCAGCCATTCTGGCCATTAAGGCAAAAATTTGAGTAATGTCTAAATAAAACTCTCTGACATATACCAGTACTGCTATCCTGCACTAGTGCATGGGAAGGTCAGTAATCTCTCTTCCACTATTACCATGAATAGGACACTTCTTACTCAAAACTGGTTTTACTCAGGTTTATGTGTAGCATGTGAGTCTGGAGTAAGAGAACAGAAGGATATGGGAAGAAGTCTAAATGCTACGCCTTTCAGACAGATCAGGTATAAAGGAAGGAGGTGGGGAGGTATTTGTTCTGCTTCTTATTTTTTGGCATGTACTCACACCATCTAACTTCAGACAATTAGCAGAAGGCAATTGCCCAAAGTTCCCCCTACAGGTAATGGACAGAAAGAAGCTTCTGTTGAGGGCTCACTTACGGTCTGAATAGTTGTTTTGAGATGCTTTTTTCTCTGCACTGATGGAAAAGTGGGATATAGGTAGACCAAGCAAGCTTTTTTCACTTATATGGTTCAGTTACATTCCTGAAGGCAGTTGAAGGAATATCTTCATGCAGACATTTGCGCTCTCCATGGATAGATATATGGACTATGTGATGCAACTTCATTCATGGTAGCAAAAGTCGAGCAGTGAAGAGATGGCTCAAAAAAACCTCGGTTAACTTTTTACAGATAGCATTTCTTGTTATTTAATGCCAGATCTGGGTACTACTGGATCACCAGACGGTACAATTTTGATCTGGATTGGCTATGAGCACACAGCTGTAGGTCTCCAGGGCAGAACAAAATATTGCTGATGCTGAACTTATGCTAGCTATATGCTGGTTGAACCACTGGTATTTTACCCAATATAGTTAAAGTAATATAGTTAAAGTAAGAATAGTGTATACTTAAAGTAAGAATGGTGTGATGAGACTGTATCAGATCTATAATGTTTGCAAAAAAGTTATTTCAATTTTAAGCCGGTCTGAATCAACAAAGTAAGTTTGTATTAAGAACTTTGTGCTTTGTAGTTATGTCACCTGCTATTAGGTGCCCTTATGCTAGGTTTAATATATCACAATATATTATGTATCAAGATGCCATGGTCTATTCAGTTATGGCTTATGTTGCTTCTGTGGGTTAAAAGTGAAGATTATTTTAAAATGCAGTTAAAAAAGCTAGAATTGTGATGGAAAACTGCTGTTAAATCCTAGAAATGACTTGCTAAATAAAATCTGTTAGTGGTAGGGCATTTAAATATAGTATCTATATATGATATCAACATGTATCTATTACTCAATGTTCAGTTAACAAGCAGTGGCTGAGGCTGCTTGTGTGTTAAAGATTTTTTTTTTTTCTCCACACTCCTGTTCTCTGCATATTAAGCTTCTGAAGCGGGCTCCATCTATAAAAGATTCCTTGGCAGGCAGAGGAAGCAGGGAGTCAACCAGTGATCCCTTGGATGCCTTTCTCTGGCCCCATTTGAGGCATTGTGTTACAACTGCAAATTAGTTAGTTGCAAACACAATCTTTACAAAGCCTCCTGACATTTACACTTAGAACTGAACTACGCTAGTAGACAGCCATGACTGGCAGACTTACTGAATATTGCTGAGTTTTGGAGATTGAGTATTGCAGATTGAGTTTTGCCCCAGTC